AGGGTTGGGATTAAACCTATTCATAGGCCACGTTAGTCTTTGCCTTTATATCAACAAAACATATTCAGGCCCAAGCCCGAACATGATTGGACCATTGGGCCTAGATCTTGAGCCCGATCTCGACCCCCCATATAAAGCCCAAAGCCTAGCCAGAATGAGAAAAAAAGATTTTGATTCTTTATTTAACAACAAGATTTATTTATTTATTTTAAATTGACTTCAAATTTGAAAATTTTATTTATTTAGTTATTATTTTTATTTTATTAAATTAAATATGTTATTATCCATAAGTTTCTATTTATTTCAAATAAATTATTTTTCCTAAAAACTATTAATTAAAAAATTTACCTTTTGCAAACTCATTTTTTCTATACAAATTTAGCTTTTGTAATCACTTACAACACTGGGCCCTCCGCTACTAAATATCAAAGATTAGTTCTATCTAGTAATTATGAAAGATTAGTTCTATACATTCATTTTTCATGTTGAAATGACTTTCATAAGTGATGTGACAATTCATATTTTTCTTCTTTTACATTGATCACTCAAATACATTTTTTATAAAATATAATGGTGCCCTACATATGTGTGACTTTGATGCCTAAAATATAATGGCGAAAATCTTAGAATGCCTATTGATATAAACAATAAAAAAACTTGCTCCTATGCAATTTTATTTTGCATTAGTACAAATTAGAAAGGTGTAAATTTTTCTTCACCATTGTTTAAGGCTTTACTTTAATATGCTTTTAAGTTTTGTTCACCACAAATAAATAAAATAAAATAAAAATAAATTTAGAAACAAAAAAGAAAGCAGAATTTATTTTCAACCCATTTCCATTCTCATACTTTAAAATTCGATCCAAAACCCGAATCGCTTTGGCCACTGGTTTTGGGTCAGTGGTTCAAATTTCAACCAGACATTTCGATCAGTCCATAACATTTTAAAAAATTAAAATAAAAATTTGGCCTAAAGCCATTGTCTGGATTAAAAGGATTGATGGTTTTACTGTCCGGATCAACATGTCATTAATCAATTCAATGATTTTTGGGAAAAATAAGGATTAGGGGTGAAACAAAACTAGTACCCTGACCACTGTCTGGCTGAATGATCCGACCGTCTGAATCAATTACATGTGAAAAATTTTGCTCATACTTTTTGCATCAGTACAAATGAAATTACATTGCACACAAATCAGGCCTTACGAGTAAACTGATGATCTCGAAACTTGTGATTCATCAGGTCTCTTGTATCATAACATTTTATCTGGGTTATCAAAAAAAAGAAAAGAATATTTCATACATTTTTATTTGAGATTTTGTTTGTTCTGGTTTTGTTGGGTTTTAATAAAGAAAAAAAAATCATTTTTAGTTTGTAATCTAGTTCACTTCCATGATTCAACCATTCAGCGAGTGGATGGATGTCAGTTCCACTTAAAATTCTTCTCAGAACCTGAAAAAAAAGCTGTTTGATTAGAGTAGCCACTGCAAATGCAAATTCTAGGCATTTTGTGGAATCTATAGGAGAATCTTGGACTTGTCCACTAAATTGAATGGCTGATTGGACTGAACTAATAAGTTGTTGGCCTTGTAGTCGTAGGATCTCTTTCAGGGGGACCCATCACATGCCTTGCTTCTTGCCACGTTTCCCTTGACAACACTGTCACTAGCCAAAAGCTGGGGTATCTAATATGTCATGTTCCCGAGGAGCAGGCTCCTGTTCCTACTTCATACACGCGCTATTTGCACTCACCGACCAACACAGATCGCGCGTAGCTTCGCTTTCCTACTCGCGCGAGCAGGCTACCGTTGCTACTTGGCTTCCCAAAATCAAGAACCAGGTGCAGGCTCGGCCTTTCCATGAGCATGTAACTTGTTTCGCTCTGGAATCTGGATTCTTTTTTTATTTTATTTTATTTTTCAGAAATTACCTTATTTATTTTAGTCTATTGTTTCTGGGTTCAAGAATCTCTCTGATTGTGGGGAAGAGGGGATTCGAGGAAGATTGTTGTCTTAGATTTGGTTTTCTTTGAAGATTTCTTGTCTGATTCTCTGGACCGATTTTTTTCTGGTGGGAGAAGGGATGGAGCATTGGTGGGTTCCTCATTTGGTACTTGAATAATTACAATCTTGCTTTTTTTTTGCCATTTTTTCTGTTATTGGCAAGATTTTTTCTCGTTATGGGATCATATGATTTTATTGTTTTTCATCTTTTGAATTTGAAAATCTCTAATTTATTTTATCGTAATCACTCTTTGAGTTCTCTTCTTTATTTTTTTCTTGCTACCCGTTTTTTGCGGGTGGGTTAGTGGGTCTTATTTAACTTGTCTTCTAAATTTCTTTTTTTTTTTTTAATATTTTGAGAGATTTGTTTGATATTTTTATTTCCAGCGCATGCTTTAGATTGTTGAGTTTTCTTTGTTCCCATGGTTTTTTGATAGGTTGATGGGTTGACTTCAATTTCATCTGGGCTTGCATGGTTTTGCAGATAAGCTTCCGCTATAAATATTTTCTTCTCTTTGGCATTTTCCTATCTATCTTTCTTTCGAAGCGAGGAGCTACCTGCTGTTTCGTATTTGAAGGACATTGCCTGCGCCAGTCAGGTTTGTTTTTTCTTCAAAAAGTTATCTTGATAACACTGTTTGATTTAATTTTATGCCTTAAGATTTATTTACATTGTAAATATGAACTCTTTCTGGGTAGAGATTGTTTGTAGAGGAGGGTGAAGTCTTTGCCAGGGTTTGAATTCATTTGTTAGGACATATTGTGAGTAGGGAGGTAAGGTGTGGGGGTCTCCTTCAATGACTGTGGGGCCGGGAGCAGGAGACAGGCTAAAGGCTAGGGTGATGATCTCGTTACGGGTTGGACCCCTATTTATGGGGAGAGATCCTGAGGCCCCGAAAGGAAGGAGCCAAAAGTGTTTGATTCCCATTAGGGAAGGGAATCTTAGATCCGGTGTCACTTGTCAGGGAACACCACTAGGGTTTTGCCACGTGTCTTATGAGATATCTCAAGGACGTGTTTTTCTTTCATCTAAAGATTCTCATAATACACGTGTATTATTTTCTTTCGCGAGCCTCTTAGACTAATGTGGCGCGGGTGACATCACTATTTATCTTGTATGTCCTCTTTATACTTGTGAGGCATCTCGTCATATGCATTATTAGTGACGCACATGTTTCTGACCTGCGATGAGCTTGCACCCGTTGCGGTTGTACGATGGCTTTAAGCTCATCGCAAACCCGCGCGGGTCTTGAGCTCATCGCATCTCATTTCGGGTCATGAGCTCATCGCATGTCTGTGCGGGTTCCGAGCTCATCGCAGATGTGCGTGTGAGTTGTGAACTCATCGCAGGCATTCATATTGTATTGGTTTAGTGCCTTCTGTGCTCTGATGGTCTAGGTGACCATCATATACCTACACATAAATTTTATTATCACCAAAATCTGAACTTTTTGTTAAGTTGCATATCAAATTTAAGTCATTATGTGTTCTCTCTTAGATAGTTACTTATTTGTTGCAAGGAGGATTTGATTTTACTAGTGGTCCTTTATTCACAGAGTAGTCGTACAAGACTACAGATTTGAACAGAAAATAAAAGAAAATTAGAAGAGGAGGAGAGGAGAAGAAGAATTCGTGGAAGGGTTTTAGGAGAAGAGAGTGGTTGGTTGTGTTAAACAGCCGTCCAACCCTTTGAATTTATATACATGCTTTCATAATTGTAATAGGACTTGATGTTTACATGGCAAGATAAGATAAGATAAGATTAAAACTTATCCTAATCGAGACTTAATTAAATCTATGCTGTCCCACGAGTACACTAATGTGGGGTCCACTGTTTCCTATACTCCCCCTCAAGTTGGGAGTAGATGTTTGTTATTCCCAACTTGCATAGATCTTCTTCTAATTTCTTCTTTGAAACAGCCTTGGTGAGGTCTACAAGCTGCATGTTGGAGGTGATGTAGGGAAGGCGTACATCTTGAGATGTAACCCTTTCTTTGATAAAGTGCCGGTCCACTTTAATATGCTTAGTTCTGTCATGCTGTACTGGATTATGAGCTATATTAATGGCATCCTGATTATCACAATACAACATTAGGGGTTTTTCATAAACAATACCCAATTTCTTAAGTAATGATCTTAACCATAGGATCTCAGCCACACCATTTGCCATGAACCTATATTCAGCTTCAACATTGGAGCGAGAAACAACACTTTGTTTCTTACTCTTCCAGGAGACCAGGTTACCTCCTATAAAGGCACAATATCCAGAGGTAGATCTTCGATCATCAACACAACTAGCCCAATCAGCATCTGTGTAGACTTCTATCTTCATGTGGTCATTATTCTTGAACAAAATGTCTCTGCCTGGGGACCTCTTCAAATATGCTAATATCCTCTCAATTGCAAGGAGATGAGTAGTTCTAGGAGAGTGCATATACTGATTAACTACACTGACTGCATAATTGATGTCGGGTCGTGTGAGGCAAAGATAGAGAAGTTTTCCAACTAACTGTTGGAACATAGCTTTATCTTCAAGAGGCTCTCCTCCCTCAACATTGATCCTGTGGTTCTGTTCAATAGGTGTGTCTGCAGGCTTAACTCCCAACTTTCATGTTTCTTCTAGCAGATCAAGAACATACTTTCGTTGAGAGACAAAAATCCCATGCTTGAATCTAGATACCTCAATGCCCAAGAAGTTGCTTGAATCTAGTTCCCCCAGATCTTTTACCTCAAACTCTTGATGAAGGAGTTGCTTAAGAGACTCAATTTCACTAGCATCACTTATTGTTATTACAATATCGTCCACATACACATCAAGCAAACTTACAAAAGAAGCCACTCTCTTAATAAACAAGGTGTGGTCTGACTGGGCCTGCACATATCCGAACCTTTCAAGGGCTCGTTTGAATCTGTCAAACCAAGCTCTGGGGGATTGTTTTAGTCCATATAAGGCTTTGTTCAATCGACAAACCTTTTTTCCTGTCTCCATACCATAAAATCCAGGAGGCCTACATTCTTCTTGCAAGTCTCCGTTGAGGAAGGCATTTTTAACATTCATTTGATACAATGGCCAAGAGTAATTAGCTACAAGAGATAATAGGACTCTGATAGTGGTCATCTTTGATACTGGTGCAAAAGTTTCTAAGTACTCAATACCATATGTCTGAGTAAATCCTTTTGCAATTAATCAGGACTTATACCTTGTACCTTTCAACAAAACCATCAGCATTATGTTTCACAGTAAATACCCATCTGCATCCAACTGGTTTTTTTCCTTTGGGCTGATCAACTATTTCTCAGGCATTGTTTCTGATGAGGGCATCCATTTCTACTTTTATTGCATCTTTCCATTCTGGTACTGCCAATGCTTCCCGTATTGTTCTGGGAATGGGAATATCCGCAATGGATGCAAGAAAAGACTTGTAGGAGGAAGACAAATGATCATAGGACAAAAACTGAGAAATGCAGTGAGCTGTGGATGTGGTGCAACGGCGCTTGCCCTTATGGACTGCTATGGGAAGGTCAATATCATCTAATGAAGGTGGTGAAGGCTCCATGGCGGGATGTCTCTCACCTGTAGTATCTATGGTACCTGGATCTGCAGAAGGAACTGGGGCTACTGTGGTACCGGGATCTAGATCTGCAGAGGGGGTTGGGACTGGCCTGAACTGCTGATGTCCGAAATAAACTTGTCTCCATCGTCTGTGATAGACTCTCACATCCCTGCACCTTTAATAACCTTCCCCACTACGCCCTTCTTCACTTAATGGGATTGGTAAAGGAACTTCTGATGTGCTAATCCCAGCCTCACTATTCTCCCCCTGAGGAGAAACCCATGGATAATAGGGTTTATCCTCAAAAAAAGCGACATCCATTGAGACAAATCTTTTTCCAGAAGTGGGTTCATAACAACAATATCCCTTTTGAGTTTGTGCATAACCAAGGAAAATACATTTGGAGGCCTTAGGATCAAATTTGGAATGATGAGGACCAAGGATATGAACGAAGCAAGTGCAACCAAAGGTTTTAAGTGGAATGGTGAACAATTCTTTATCAGGGTATAGAAGGGTAAATGGAGATTTCATTTTAGTATTAAGCTTAGGAACAATTATGTTTTTTTGTAATGCTACTAACTGAAAGCAAGTTAGTATTAAGCTTAGGAACATGCAAGGCGTAAGATAGGGAAATGGCATCAGACAACTTGATGTCTCCTTTGCCAGCAATAGGGACAAGGGATCCATCAACAATGGACACTTTGTCTTTATCAGAAGATAAATGATAGGTAGAAAAAAGTGATGGCAAGCCATTCATATGGTCGGATGCTTCTGAATTTATTATCCAAGAATGCTTTGTATTACCTGGAGCTGAAGCATGATAAGCTGAGGCCCGATTACCTGATTGAGCAAAAGATGAGGTTAAAGGAGCTGATGGTGGCTAAGGAGATGGTACTGAGTTACTAACTTCACTCTCCAACTGTGTCAGAGCAGCTTAGACAGTAGCTAGGGTGTCTAGAGGAGTGCCTCTTGAGGCTGCACTATCAGTGTTAACAACCATATTGTTATTCCCCTTTTTGTTTCTGAGTTTTGCTGGAACTAGATGTGGATGCAACTTCCAACAAGTGTCTTTAGTGTGTTTAGGTTTCTTGCAATGTTCACACACTAGGTCCTTCTTAGCCTCTTTCTTCATAGTCCTTTCCTTATCTCCCCTAGACTTGGGTTTAACTGCTACCAGAACAGATTCGAAAGGCTGTTGCTGCAACATAACCTTTCTCCTAGTCTCCTCACTGTGCACTAGGGAATAGGCTCGAGACAGAGTCACACCCTCTCTTGTCAACAGCTGCTGTCTTATAATATCATACTCAGAATTTAGACCAGACAGGAACTCAAATACTCTGTTAGTTTCAACTTGTCTTCTGTAAGTCTGTGCATCTCTTTGACTTTCCCATTTCATTGTCTCAAGATGGTCAATTTCATGCCACAGAGATTTTAGGGTTGAAAAATAAATAGAGACTTGTTTTTCTCCTTATCTGAGATTTCTAACTTCCCATTTCAGCTCATAAGCCCTAGCAACATTAAGGGGCTGAGAGTAGGTTTCTTTCACAACATCCCATATTTTTTTAGCTGTTTTTGCCCATAAGTAATTTTGGCTGATGTGTGGCTGCATGGAGTTGCACAGCCATGTCATCACCAAATAATTTTCTTGAATCCACCTAGCATAAGTAGGATCCTCCTTAGTTGGTTCCTTTACATCCCCCAACAAGTAGTTCAGCTTTCCTCTTCCCCCAATGGCCATCATGGCTGATTGGGCCCACTCTAAGTAGTTTGAACCATCAAACTTTACAGTTGTAATTTGGAAGGTGTTTTTAGACATGCTACTTGAACCAGTCCCCAAAACACCCTCCTCTTGGCTTTTAAACTCCATTAATGATCAGTAAAAAAAAACTTCCTAATTACTGCACCAGTCGGCCTACTGGGTCTGCAGCAGGTAATAGCAATAAAAGAAGCCCTAATTTTTGTGACAGTCGGCCTATTGAGACTGATAGCATTAAAAAAAAAAACTGTAACAGTTCTGTTGTAACAGTCCTGCTGAAACAGCTCTA